CTCATTGTTATTTATATCTTAAACATTGACTGATATTCTACATAGGTTTTCAATTTTTATCATGGTTTTGTTGATGCTTCTAGTGATCAGAGCAGTGGAGCGTTGTCTGGCGTTATCTCTCCAAGGGTCGCATTGAAAGTGCAAAGTACACTGAGACCCTTTGGACAATAGAAGACTGTGACATGTTCTAAGCGACCAATTTATTAATATTCGAACTTTCTTATTAACTTAATGTTTTTTGTTTTGCATCTTTCATTCAATTTTCCAAAATCTAAACAATTACAGCTTAGGATGTCTGACGTCGTTTTGAATTTCCTTGCTGGAGGAGTTGGAGGATCATGTACCGTTTTAGTCGGACATCCTTTTGATACTGTTAAGGTTCGTTCTACATTCTGTTCGAAATTCATTCATTTTTATAATTCTTACAGGTTAGACTTCAAACAATGCCATTGCCCAAGCCTGGTGAGAAACCACTATTCACTGGCGCTTTGGACTGTGTGAAGCAGACCATAGCCAAAGAAGGTTTCGCGGCCTTGTACAAAGTAAGCTTTGAAGAACTTCAAAAACTTAAGTGTGTTGCTTTTGTAGGGAATGTCTGCTCCTCTTGTTGGAGTTACTCCTCTGTTCGCAGTTTTCTTTGGAGGTTGTGCTGTCGGTAAATATCTCCAACAAACTCATCCAGGTTTCTAACAGTCTTCATGAAGTTGTTATATCGTTTTCTTAGACCAAGAGATGACATTCATTCAAAATGCTAACAGTGGAGCCTTAGCTGGAGTCTTCACAACAATAGTCATGGTTCCCGGAGAAAGAATCAAATGTCTTCTTCAAGTATTTCTGATTTTATGGAACATATTCTAAACGCTTATTAGGTTCAATCTTCTGGACATGCTCCATCGGGAGTTCATTACGATGGCCCTCTCGATGTTGTGAAGAAACTCTACAAACAAGGAGGAATTACTTCTATTTATAGAGGAACAGGAGCCACACTTCTCAGAGGTAACTTTCGCATGTGTTTGTCACATGTTGATAAATTATAGACATACCTGCTTCTGCTGCTTATTTGTCTGTCTATGAATTCTTGAAGAAGAAGTTCAGTGGCGAAGGAAAGGAGAGAACACTGTCGCCTGGAGCTACTCTAATGGCAGGAGGCTTAGCTGGAATTGCTAATTGGTTAGTATATTTTTCTGAAATTCTAATATTCAATTCTTCTCCAGGAGCGTGTGCATTCCAGCGGACGTTCTGAAATCTCGTTTGCAAACAGCTCCTGAAGGCAAATATCCTGATGGAATAAGAGGAGTATTAAGAGAAGTTCTTCGGGAAGAAGGGCCCAAAGCCCTTTTCAAGGTATTTTAAACCCGAAACGAGTATCAAGTTGAAACGTTTGTTTTAGGGTTTTACTCCAGTCATGTTGAGAGCTTTCCCTGCTAACGCTGCATGCTTCTTCGGATTAGAGCTGACTTTATCTCTTTTCCGATTCCTCGGCGTAGGTGGTTCAACTAAAAAGGACGAGTAAACTTAAAGTACTGTAAATGATATGTATAATTTATTATGTGAGTTCTTCGTAAATGAAGTTAATGAAATAAGAAAACCTACCGCTTCACTCAATTGGAATGCAAGTATACATGAAAAGCATCGGGAGATAGAAATAACCATGAACAATTTAAAAATTCAGTCGGGTTTAGTTTTATCCACAAACTGTTTCAATCATGAATTCCCATAATATTAGTTATATGATATGTACAAATTATTATGAGATCCTTCGAGGATTTTAGAACACGTATATATAAAATAATAGAATAAGTTATGGGGACTTTTAGAACTTTTTCTCCATATCGCAGTCTTCAACGAATATGATCGTTGGGGTTTTTGTGATGGTTCGGCAGTAGTTCGGTCGTATTTTGTATGTGCCAACAACACTCTGAAAGAAAGAGTTGTACGACATGAATCAGTAATAGAGACACTAACCGTAGCTATGACTTGAACATCAGAACACCAACGCATGAAATCTTCTTCCGTAGCATGGAATGCAGCTGTGACTTTATCAGAATCTAGGGCTGGTGAAGGGAACACACACATCTGAATACGAAATCTGATTATGCTAGATAGTATTCAACCTACTATCTGCTCTCTTGATAAACCGATAAGAAAATCTTTACGAATAGGTAAAAGTATTCGAATGCCAATTTTGAATCTTCTTGACTTCTGACGCTTATCTGAAAAATGAAGTTGATGAGGAAAAATCTCAATCCAATAATAACCTAAACAAAATGGACAACCTATGGAGGCTTTGCGATCAACACGGAACTCATTCAAACATGTATCACAATTTCCCGTGAATATAACACAGTGTGCATAGAAAGACTGATTCATGAAATGAAAGTTGTCCACGCAGATGAAGCTATAAATATAATAAGAGTATGAAAGCGTCTTTGATTATCTACAATACTTTTCCATCACACAAGGTGAGTCCGGTTCCAGAGTCCTAATGATTTCAATTTCTTCATCTACTGTAGCTATGGTATCATCGTCAAAATCGAAAAGCTTCTTGATTCGATCCGAAAGCGTTTTGTACTGAGCGATTACTTTGCACTGCAAAATTGATACAATATATATATGACAGTTTTTTTTCATCCTAGAGAAAGAATTAAAATGGAAGAAACTCACAGCAGATTTAAGTTCAGGTGAGATTTCGTCATCTTCCTCTTCCTCTGATTGCCCAGCAGGTTCTGTTCCTTCATTCAATACTTCTGCTACTTCTTCTCCTGCAATTAACAACGATTTTGCCAGTTTGTATTCAGGGAACTAACTTTGCCGGTCTTCAATTGCTATGTTACTGCTTTCTCCAAGACTTAGGCTATCAACAATTTCGTTCAAGACGCTCATTACGGCAGCATCTCGAGAGTTTTCATCTACAACTTCAGCCTCATTCCTGGTTTCAAGAACGATTGGCTGCACGTTTTCAGTAGACTCAGAAGTGTCAATCTGCTGTGCTCCTTCTTGATGAGACAAAGTCTGAGATTCAAGAGCAACAATGTCATCGTTTGTGTTGAAAAGGGGAACAGTTTCACCGGTGAGCATTTCTACATTGTTACTCGTTTCTGCGGGAATATCCAGACAAACGTTGTTTGCAGGAACTAATTCATTTGGTATGTTCTGCGACGAATTTTCGATTGGAACCGTTGTATTGTTTTCATGATCTTTCCCAGATTGCTCGATCCGAGCTGCAAAAGAAGTTTGCTTCTTAAGAGGTGGTTCGGCGGATGAAGAAGGCTGATCATTCTGATAAAAGAAACAACTTGAGCAGCAAGGAAATCTCGAACCTTTCTCTTCCGATCTGCCAGCGTAGTTTCTTCCTCATTTAATTCCGAATTAGTTGCGTTAAGGAAGGAGTCATTCTTTGAACAAAATTAATAGAGATACTCGATTCAACTTACAGTTACAACTTGTTGTGTTTGAGTGAACCTATACACAGACTGGCCTAAACGATCAGATTTCTTAATGTATAAATGAATGACACATACTCTGACTACAAGTGTAGAGATCGCTTAGAACATTCTCGCACCGTCTAAAAGTGAGTTATAGCTACTTCTTTACATGCAAATATCCTACTGTTTCATTGCGGTGATGATTTCACACTCAATATTACCAACAGAAGCTGCCAATCGACGATGAACTTCTCCCTCGTGGAGGCAAATAACTTTGTCTCCCATCTTACGGGTATAGATTCTCGCATTAGCGAAAACTGCTACGTTTCCGACCTACATGGCAACTTCAATTCATTCAAACTTTTAGAATACTAGCCTGTAGATCTACAGCCGCAGACGCATGTTCTCCGAAACAAGCAATATCAAACAAGTAATCGCTGGCTTTATCGACAATGTCTTTCTCGGGCATTGTTTTTAAAACAGAAACTTCGACCGAATTGACCTTATGAAGACTGGCCGCAATTCTGCAAGTTTCTAATGATCAAAAAACTATCTTCAAAACGTACGGGGTAAGGCTTCCGTCAAACACGCGCACATAAACTATTTGATTATATCTGTATATCTCGGCCACCTTAAAATATGTTCATAATCACAATGAGAACAAGAAACTTACGAAGGCGACGAAATTGAAGTAAACTTTGCCACTCAAGAATGAGCTGTTCAATTCTGCGAAAGACGAAATGGTTTTCGAGCAGGTAGCACTCACGTTGTCTATAGCGGATCTCTGTGATATTGAATAACTGAAGAACAGATAACTAGAAAAAACAGTTGAAGGAGATTCCTGTTACTTTTCATTCGATTCAAATGGCAATTCCAAAACGTGCGACAGAATTTTCTTTTTATATGCGTCGGTTAGATCGAAGTGAGAAGCACTTTGACACTCAGGGGACGGAATCGAGCTTAACTGACGCAGCTCCATAACCTTCAAAAAAACAGATTAGGAATCTTCTAAATTTTACTACGATACTCGTTTCTCGTCATAATCTTCAACGGTGTATGTGGAGGAAGTGTGAAATACGGGTATAAATGATGAAGATAGATCCCATACTACAGCTGAATTTCCTCTAATATGTGGTTTGTACATAAGTTTTGTTGGAGTGGAGATCTGGAAGATGAAATGAGATATGTAACTTTGATGATCAAACCATTGATCTGTGTAACCGTAGAATATATCCAACTTCTACGTGGTCTAAGAGAGAGAGATCAGGGACAATGACTACATGGCCGAATTCATCCTAAATAGGCTTTTAATCAAAAAGATTCAAAAACACAGCTAACTTTAATCACAACTTTTTCAAACCCTCGCTTCTTCTCTATGGAAATGATTATCCCATAGACGTTAGCATATCCATTGTAAGGTATTTTATTCAATTTAATGTACTGATAAGCCTTCTTTGTCATTTAATCCTGAACTCTATATTGAATCCGAGTAAGCACATTAGTAAATACAGTATGAAACTGGACACAGAAATGGAGACAATAACACCAACAACTTATTTGTGCATTCAATAGCTTTTTGATTGAAATCTACTAACGATTGAGCATGATAATCTGAGTTAGTTGCTTTAGTTAAAAGCAACTACTTTACGTTATACTCGACTAATTTAGTTGACTAATTTCGATTGATTAAGGCTCAACTTTTCCAAACATTTTTGGTATTAGAGCGCGCTTTCTCTGTAAATTTTCAAGTATGAGTATGGAATTTTTTCCAAAATCATAACAAAACTATTGAATATAATTTATTAAGAGAAATCAAGCAAATCTATTGATCCATATATTCTATCTCTTCGTTATCATCGTCGCTTTCCACGTCATAATTAATTGCTGAGTATCGTGTGTTTCATGCGGACGAGTGGTTTACTTCTCTTTTGACTTTCGTGTCAACGATTAACAAGTTTCTTGCGTTCAAGCCTGACAAACGTTGTCTGCGCTTATTATCATATATTATTCCAGTAATGCTAGTTTTATTTAAAAAAAACTTGGCTAGTTACCTGAAGAGACCTTGATAGTTCACAGATGCCGCTAGTGGTAAATACATTTATACGGGTAGAAATATGTAAAAATGAGGAAAGGTCGAAAGTTCTCTCTTTCGACTTCTGTGCATTTCTCTTCAGGAAGTTGAGTTCCCGATATAGTATAGTGTTCCAACCGACTATTGAACAACTCAAGCATTTAATTCAAGAGGAACCAATCAGCTAATCTATAACTGATAGTTGAATACTTCGAGTGAACTGAGTTACAATCTCGGTACTTCTCGTTCCGCAGCCGCTGCTACTGCGAGAAAAGGTGTTATGGTTTTGCGTTCCATTATGGATTATGCCGGTTATAATCATAATGGCAACCTCCATGAGATGAAATAAAAGCTTACAGAAAGAATGTATAGCTTTAGCACAGGGACGCACCAGAGCTTGAAACGCCTTGCTCTCCACTGGTCTCCCATATAACTCTGTAGTCGTGATTAAGATAAGCAGCTCTTCTTCAACTGTATTGTAGACAATGCATTCCTTACCTCTTTCCAAGAATGGAACAGTTGACCGTACTTCTAGATACAATCTTCAATATTTGAAGATGATGAAGGAGCTCGTGCGTCCATAAGTTTCTGTTACTTCAGTTGGAGATGGAGGATTTGTTGCAAATATCTTCATAAACTTTGATAGAAACTTGTAACTATATGTAGAATGCTCTCGATTGGAATTTCCCCTTTCAGTTGTTCTATCTGTCTCTCATTCAAATTTTTATTATCTTAGCCGATACTTTTAATTTTAGTTGTTTGATTAGTAAAGTAGTTAGTTGAATAATCAATCGCCATGCGGGTTAAGTTAATCATTAGTTGAAAATTAGTCGTTGTCTGACGTTATTAGTCGATCAAATCGATTTTTCAGTCGCCTATCTTTACATTCGACGAAAAGAAAAAATTCATTTTGAATTATACTACCCTGTAGTTTATGAGCGTCCTTTGAATATATCTAGGATATCTTCTGTGACAAATAAATAAAATGGCAACCATGAGTAAACTAATGGAATAAATTGCGAGATGATAAAATCTGCAAGGAAACCATAGCACTTCTAAGAAAACATCTGTTGTCCCATCAGAATTCTTATGCAATTCAAGCATCGACATTCCTGTGTCATACGTTCCCATTCTGAATGAGAAATTTTTCAAACACGTATGATATTGGAAGAAATACCTGTAAGAACAGGTAGGAACCTGAATCTCAATTTCTTTCGAATTTTTTTCTAACTTAGTGTGATATGAACTACTAGTATAAGTTAGGTACGTACTCAAAATGCCATTCCTAGTGAATGTATGAACAACGGCCTGAAGTATAAAGATGAAACATTAGATTTTCTTTTGAAAAACTACCTTATGATCATGAGCACTGAGTATAATATCAGGCTTGACCCTTCTCACCTAAGAAGAACGATTATAAAGTTCACCGGAAAGATTATTTACTTTCTGATGACTGTGAAAGATAGTAACAGGATTGTGAGACAACAAAACATTAGTGGAGCAATTGTTTTCATTGTATCGTTGAGCGCCGGCTTCGAAATTTAGCATATCAATCTGAAGGCACATGGAGATGATAACATTTGATCATATAAACCAACATGGCTGAAGCAGAGATTATTATGCAACATTATGTTGTTTTGAAAAGTTGAACTAAAACGCCTTTGTAGATGAGGGAGAACAGGTTCCCCTTCACCTCCAATGTCATTATCACCGGAAAGATATATTATCTTAAAGAGAACGTTGCCATTAGTGGTTTCTCATCACACATACGGTTTTGTTTTTCAATGAGTCTTTAGAAAATATTGAAGAAAATCTTAGTAGAGTGTTATCGAATTCATGCTCGGATGCTTTGACTCCTTCGTCAAACAAATCACCCAGAAAGATAATGTGAGTAGGCTCATCAAGGCTCATAGCCCAATTGAAGCCTTTTGAAACAAATCTTTAATCGGAAGAGGGAAATTAGCAAGCCAGAATTAGTAACTTCTACCTATCAGAATCCCATCGTGTAAATATTCCAAAAAGTGCTGGTTCATCATGGTATCCTAGTAGCTGAGGGTCAGCGATTAGTAACAGCTTAGTGCTATCAGTATTTCGTATTTTTGACCAGTTTAAGAAATGATAAAAGAAAGATAGATATTCATTCCATAGTAGTGCAAAGAGAAGAGGGCCTGTTAGAACGCATTTTCAACAGTACAAAGAATCTTGACTTACTTAATATTATGAGCAGTTCAACTGAATATGGCCTCATGGAAACTTTGAATCATTGTTTGTGTTCGAGAGTCCTGGAATCAATCCATATGATTCAATAGATGAGTAATTGATTTTTTTGAGAATTGTAAATAAGGAGAAAGCCAAATAAAAAAACATCAAATACTATTACAGTTTAATTTAATTTTTATACAAATATTACAAAAAACAACATTTTAAAATTCAAACTTACAACCAATAGCGCTCTAATGCTAAATCGCATCGCAGCACAGGAACGCGTCGCTTCTAGATTATACTCACATCTTCCCTTTATTTTCATTGAACATGCGTTTATGCTATATGTTTAGTTGATTATTTTTAAAAATTAATAGTTTTAGAATCCTTCCTGGTTTAGGGTAATGCCTGAGTATAGACTTGTGGTAGTGGGCGATGGAGGTGTTGGCAAATCTGCCCTCACCATTCAATTGATTCAGAATCATTTTGTTGAGGAATATGATCCAACTATCGAAGACAGCTACCGAAAGCAGGTCAGCTTTTAGTTTTACATTTATTCATATTTCTTTCCGTTATTTTTGCAAATTGATCGTATTTTGTTAGGTCGTCATCGATGGCGAAACCTGTCTTCTTGATATTCTTGATACAGCTGGACAAGAAGAATATTCTGCCATGAGGGATCAATACATGCGAACAGGTAACTTTAAGAATTGATGACTTTTTTAATTTTATTTTGTGTAGGAGAAGGTTTCCTGCTTGTATTCGCCATTAATGAAGCTAAGTCATTTGAGAACGTTGCCAACTATCGTGAACAGATCAAAAGAGTCAAAGATAGCGATGACGTGAGTTTTGCACATTTCTAAAGATTATTTGTTTTTGATTAGCTTCTTTGTTTAACATGTACAAATCATTGTTTGTTTGTATACTACTTGTTTATGATACGGTTTGCAGGTTCCTATGGTTCTTGTTGGTAATAAGTGTGACTTATCTGCTAGAGCCGTCGATGGTCGCACAATAGTTGATACGGCTAAAGCATATGGTATGTCAATGTTGTAATTTCTTTTTTAATACATCTCTGCTTAAGGAATTCCTATGGTTGAAACGTCTGCTAAAACCAGAATGGGTGTAGATGATGCTTTCTACACTCTAGTTCGCGAAATCAGGAAGGTAACGTATTTTTTGTGTTTCAAAGGAATTGTATTTTTTAAGCATCGAGAACGGAATCGTGAAAAACCACGCAAAAAGAGGGGCAGATGTGGAATTCTCTAAATCTGCTTTCAGCCTGCCGCTGGTTTTTGTTTAATGCTTTTAATTTTTTTGGCAGATTGCCTTTTGTTTTCACCTCCGTTGTCTTTGCAACTGTTCATTTTCCATTTTTCATATCAGTCGGCATCTTCTTCTGTGAATCCCTCTTTTCTTCATTTTACCTTATGCTATAGATACGTGGTCCATTTCCTCTTTGAAAAAAGGTTATTATGCGATCCCGGACCATTTGAAATAGTCAGTAATAGTCGGTAGTCTCTTTATCATTTACTTTAATAAAAACGGGTCTGAGCCTAATCTTCTAGATATGTTTTATTGCTGGAAGGCAAATTTGATAGCGTAAGAGTTAAGATCAGACCCGCTACTTTGTAATTTAAGATCCGCTTCGCTAGATATCGATTCTGTAAGGTATGTACTTAATGCTCCGTCCAGTAAATTACTGACGGCTAATATTTAATTTCTATTCATGTAGTTACATAATTTCCTTTTTATTACATTGTCGTTTTGTACAATAAGTTGCACATTCTCATTTTTTTTTAAATTTGCAACATTTTTTATTCGCTGACGTAAATATTCTGCGTTTGCTAATAGTTTTTTCAAATGTTTTGGTACATGCCTTGGCTCATTCTGTATGTAATATATATTATTCACCGAAAGGTTATCTGTTACTATCACTGCCGATCTTTTACTTTATTTATTAGAATGACTCGTAAACGGCAGAATGTCGAACAAGTTGAAGCTCCCGTTGTTCCTGAGAAAAAGAAATCTTTCCCTCCTAAAAAACAGGGTGGATATGCTAATAAACAAAATTATGAGGCTGAGAGATTTGAAAAGGTGAGACAATAATGGATTGTCCACGAGCATACCCTTCTTCAGAACTACGGGTATGTCGCTGATAGAAATGAGCAAGAAGAGGGTTACAATAATAACTACCACGAGTCGTATGAGGATAATTTTGGAGGGGCTAATGATTCTCAAAAAGATGAGACTTCTTTTCCCACTGAAATCACTTCTTACTTGAAGGGAATCCTAGTAGTTTTAGAAACAGAAAAAGATTTAGGTGAATAAACGAATTCAAGAATTAAATTTATCAGAACTTTAGGCGTTGAATTTTTTGATAAGTGTGCCAAGGAATGTGCTGGTAGTGAAGTAGCACTCTTGACTTACAAAGATTCGTCGACGGTGGTTGAAAGCGTTTTCGGTAGTTGTTTCTTAGTATCTTATAGCATATGCTTCTTTAGGTTCTAAACCAATCGCAGCAACATTGTTCTTGCAAGTTATTGCAAACCAAAAACATAAAGTAATTGTGGATCTGATGTTTGGAGGCTGTAGTGCCCGAACAATAGAAAAGTTGCTTTACTCAAGTGCCCCAATCACTCTATCGTCCATTGATGTACTTGTTTGAGAATCATTACGTCTAAAGTCAGCTCAATTCAGACTTTGACTAAATTCGTTGATCTGTTGTTTGATAATTGGCAAGATGCCATCACTACCCAACCATCAACCTACCTGCTTAGGAGCATAGGAAGAGTCACCTGTGGATTAGGTCCAATTGAGAATCAGGTACACTCTAATGGATTAATTTCTATATTACTGAAAATGTTTAAGCCCAAGTTTGGTGTTGTCAAACGCGTCAAGCCTAAGTTCTACAATGCTACTGTCAGAACAGCTCTTCAAAGGATTTTCGCACAACTAGCTGATCGATTGTTCGACGCTAAAACTACTGGACGTATGTTGTGTGAAATAGAAACTTGAATAACTATTCATTTAAGCTCATTGGGACAATCTGTTCTGCTCTGTTCTCTTACAGTCTTTCTTCGAAGCGGATGCTGCTGTCCATGGCAATAGAGCCGATGCTTTCGTTGAAAATGCTTTGGCAAACTTAGAAGGTTCCTTGTTTGAAAATAATCTTTTGTTATGTCAGTTATTCTATTCAGAAAGCGATATTATCAATAAATTACAAGGAAAAGAGAGTTCTCGCGTGTGGGATTCCATTTTCACATTTTGTACAGATCGCGGTATAAAATTGTTCTGGGAGAAGATAGCATCCAATCATGTATGTCATGTGCTCTTCTATTGTTTCATATTTTTCTTTCCAGTTCAAGTCGCTTGTATATCATCCAACTGCTAACTTCCCGATTCAGAGGCTTCTAGCAGCAGAAAAATCTGAAGAGACAGTTAAGTTCACGAAATAATTGCTTCATAACTTGTGATTATAGGCTGTTGCAATATGCAATGTTGTTATACCACTGATATCTACATTGCTCGCTGAGAAAAAACCCGGAGTTGTGATAAACTTGTTGAAATGCTGTAGTTCTCATGCAAGTTTAGAAGAGCTTGCTCTCAAAGAGTTGAGAAAGCATTTCAATGCGGAAACTGTATATCGTTTCATTTGTTATATGTGTACGGTTCTTTGTTTTAGGCTTCAACTAAAGAACATTTCTTGTTCAACGTTCTAACACTGAATCCTCAAAACGGCTCTAGCATGGACCTTTCAAAGTGTCAATATCATGTATGATTAGTTCAACGAAGTTCTCTCTGATTCTCGAATCTTTTTTCAGGGTTCAATGATCTTGCAAGAGCTGTTCAAATTCACGAAAGTAAAAACGATTAGTGCATGTATCTCTGCTATCTCAGATAAAACCCTTGTTGGAATGGTCAGTATTCAAAATTATTAACATAAGTTTCTCACAAATAGCATCTGAAACAGACTGTTCTGTTTTAGTTATTCTGATATGCTCGTTGCTTTATTTCATGTTGATAAGTTTCTAGGCATTCGACAAAATTGCTTCTCATATTGTCCAAGTGATCATCAACAGTCCTACTGTTGCCGAGGACATCAAAACAAAAGTTCTTCAAAGCTTAGAGGTTTGCCAACATCATGAAGTTGTTTAAAACTGTTTTCTATAGAAAAGCAGCCCAGACCTTATCAAGAGTCCTGTAGGTAGTCACGTTTTCGAATGTATGTGGGACTCGCCTTTGTTCAAAGTGGCTCAGAAGCAGAATCTGATGAAGTCTTTCGTTCCTTTGAGAGTGAGATATTTCAATGTATATGTTTGATTCGATTGTTTTCAGAATGAATCGAAGAATTGGAAGTTCGCTATGCTGAGATGCGATATGAATCTCTTCCGCAGTGACAGGAAGGCTTGGGTGAAAAAACAAAAGGAATGGAAAAAGCCCGAGAAAAGTTAATTTTGTTGTTAATTGCTCTTTGTTATTGTTGTTTGTTTTTGAAAATATTGTTAATTGTGATACTTCAAAAAAAATTTCGATATAGATTACCATATTTCTATGTTTGAACAATAACAAAGGAAGTGCCATTGAATATGCAACAGACCATGACTTCATGAATCGAATAAGGTTTCAAGCTCTTATGGACGTCGCAAGACTGTTCTAGAATACGGATGTGATTCTTTAAGGTATATTCTCACACGGAATCTACAAAAATTTCTGGTTAAACGGCCTCACTGATCCCGCCTCCCTTCGTGCTTCTGATGTTTACATATACCACGAGAACAGACGGCGAAGAGGGAAGGTTGGTCTGTCGGGTCTTTCAGATTGCGCTGCCATGCACACAACTGACAGGTAGGCTTTTTCAAAAACTTTCATGTGCAAGATTCATAAGAAATTCTGTGTACTTTTTTTCATCATTCTCATAGCTTCCGCATAATCATGATTTCAGAGGTGAAGAGTATCTTCAACTTAACCTACCTCCTGGTAGCGTGAGTGAAGCGAGTCATCAATGTAAGGAACCTTATGAAGCTGCTCGATTGAAACATTTGGCCTGTATTAAACTATTCACCAACAATGAGCTTCTTCGTAAAGATGTGAATGGTGAAACATGTCTGCATCACGCAGTACGATCACGAGCTCACGACATAGCACAGTAAGTTTTGTTAAAAATATTTTCTTCATCGTTATCATATATTTTTTCACTTGTGATTTGTGCGAATGAACAGAATTTTTGTCTAAAAAACCGCTTTATTAGATACACTTCTCTCTTTTGACTCAAAAACCTGTTTTGATTGCCGTCTGATAATCCGTAAGCTCTAAGGTTGCTATTATGGCCTTTGGTCAGTAGTTAAACTAAAGCATTTAGCTAATAATTTAATCGGCTTAGTTTCCTTCTATATTTCAAAATAAGACAAACAAAATTATTGAGAACAGGCTGCAGCTTTTCCTGATTGTTTGACGAAAAAGCATGTTTGTACGGATTGAGAGTGACTAGCACATCAGTGCTTTTGTATGTTCTCTTTGTGTATCATCCCAATTAATGCTCGGTAAAATCATTATCTTCAAGGATGTCACATTATAGTTTTATATAATGCTATGAATGAAATGCTGACACAACCGTTCACTTTGTTTGCAATGAGAGAAATGCTTGTGCCAACTTTACGTGAAATTGACGTGAAGTTCAAACTCAAAGAATTCGCCGTCTATCGATTGATCTATTTCCAAATTCCATAGAGCAGAATAAAAAAAATGAAAGCATTAAATTTATTGTTGACATTGTGTATCAAGGTCGAACTCTTTGGTTACTGGCAGATAATCCTTATCTATCCTATTAGTAAGATTATACTCAATCCAGATCAGAGTAAAAAAAATAAATTTTCGATATTTATTTTGATTAAATAGACAGAATCATTTGCCAAATAGAACTGAAAGTGTTTGTTGGATTCAACATGACACTGATAATAAGTGTTATTCCACGTCCTTTCTTATATCCGGTAAGAACATAGAGTATTGTACAAGAGAGTGCGCAACGGAAAGATAACAGCTAGTTTTGCGAGTTGACGGAAGTGTGCTTACACTGTGTTTCTTCACTTTTTTCGGATTCTTTTCTGCTCTCCTCCAAGTAGTTTCGTTGTGATAGAATGTGCTTATGCTCCGCAAAAAAAAGATGCTGTTCCCATACTCTTATAAGCAAACACGTCACAATGTTGTTCGAAGATTTTGAATTTTAACGAGCGTTTGGGAGAAGAATGATGTTCACGCGAAGAAGCGAAGTAAGCGCACCGTCATTCCAAATAGGAACTTCATTTTTGAAAAGTTTGTTTGCCAGATTCAATTCGCTCTGAATTGAAAGTACTGTGTTTGAAGTAATAGTCGTACAAAGCGCGATGAGCAATAACGACACACCTATGCCTATATTTGGAATAGAAGGTGCGCCGGAGCTGACAGGTGTCAGAAGAGGGATATAGAATATCTTTCGAGAGAATTCGCGATGAATACTCAGACAGAATACACTCAGTTTTTTTGCGTGACGAGCAATGAGTTTCAATTAGCCAAAACTGGATTATGTGATCATTATTTCCTTTCCGATTTCGGAAATAATTGAATTGATGAATTTGAATTTGAGCAGAAGAAAGTTTCAAGTTCAGCCAAGTTTCTTTTGCGAAGTAATTGATTCCCAATCGAGCTTTCTATCTTGATTTTTTTGACAAGAAGCTGTCACAAGGGATAGTTAAGAAAGATGCTAGGTCAGGGTCCTTTGGGTATTCATCAACCAAGCAGCACAAATCCATTAAGCTTATTGCCAAAAATGCCTTTACTCTTCGAAAATGTGGTTTTATTGAATTTAAGGGATTCTTTGAAATAAAATATGAAAACAAGTTTTGAACCTTAAGTTTCTTCACTATAAGCCAATGAGAAAAAAAAAGATTAGAACGGGCCAGTTTAATGAAATGAGGTGTCATTTCTGGCGAGTCTGATGATCGTCTCCGATTTCAGTAAGATTTCAAAACATTCTTTGTTGTGTGAATTACGGCGATGACGAAAAGCAGCGAAAAAGACTTAATGGCTCATCGCCAACAACTCTTTCTACCTAAATCTGTTGACACTCATGTGCGGGATGAGAACATTCTGAGTGTTCGTCATATTAGCCATATATATTTTTGAATGGGCAGAATATCATCGATGAGAGAGAAATTCAAAAACTCAAATTAGTTTATTTAGTTTCTTTAGGCATGAAATTTCATTTGAATTTTGATGTCTTATTGTTAACGTCTGGAGTGATCTAGGGCATACTTGAAAAATTGGGCAAACGAAACGAAAGATCTTGTTTGCTTGTTGAATAATTACGAATCAAATGAAAACATAACTGCTTGAAAGTCTTCTCAATTCACCTTATTTCAGGTATTTGATCAGTAAAGTACCTGCGTTGAAAGAAATTCCTTCGCAGAACGTCGAAATACCATGCCTAATTGCGGCAGCAAATGGAGATATGAAGATGTTGGAAATCTTATTGGCTGGACCGATGAGATTAGCTCTGCAATCAGCTTTGCATAGGTTCGTTCTGTTCAGAATATGTTTTTTGGTATGATAATTCTCTTAAAGAGATTGCAATGGAACATCAGTGCTGATGGCTGCTGTTGCTCGAGGTGATAACGCCATGAGTATGTGGCTGTTAAAGAAGTTTGGGAGACAGTTAGCTGCACTACCTAACTATTCTAATATGCTTCCTCTTCACGTTGCTGCTGCGCAAGGTTTGGTCAACAGTAATCAGTTTCATTATCAAGCGTATTGTTAAAGGAAACATTGAATTCATGAAAATCGTCGTAAAGCTTGATAGTAATTTGGTGAATACTCGTGATGAGTTTGGTTAGTTTATAATTAATTTCCGTTACATCCGCGCATATTAAGGATGTACGCCGTGTGTTTATGCTGTACAAGCAGGATGCTTGAGTAGTGTCCGCTTTTTAGTTGAAGGTGCCCGAAGTGAAATGGGCTCAGTCAGTAATCGGGGTTAGTTCTGTTTTCATATAAAATGCAACCGCTCATTTACAAAAAAATTCTAAAAAATAAAAGGTTTTTGCGTTTGGTAAAGTGACGTAGTCAAATTATCCTGATTTCGTTATGTGCAAAATTAATCTTCAGGGCAATCTCTTTTGCATATTGCTTGTTTGTCTGGCCATGAACATGTAGCAAAGTGGATCTTGAATCGTATGGGTACAGAAGCTATACTATGGACAACGAATGATAAAGCTAATGTTCTACATTGTGCTGCATGTAAGAAACTGAAAACTTAGACTCTGAAAATCACATAATTATAGTTTGCGGATCAGTACCGGTTTTGCAATTGCTTTTGGCAGCTTTCAATACTCGTAAACGTCGCCAAGTCTTAGCTCTTCGTGATGGGCGCGGCAATTCTCCTCTGCATCTTGCTGCAATTAACAATCACACCGACGCTGTGCAAATTATGGTAATTTCATTTATTAATGAGGAAGTCACTCGTTTTTGAAAACTCCTTCTTTAACCTCATGATTGAACGTCACTATGAGTGCTAGACAGAAAAAAACTTCGAAAATGCCATAATCCTATCAATTGGCTGGATGATTATGCAATGCCATGCGAGAGCAGTTAAAATGAGTAGGAAACATCTTTCCTAAGCCCATAGTGTTAAATATTTAATTAAATTCTGAATTAATCTTGTAAATTATATTTTCAGTTGAACAATGGAGCTGACGCAAACTTGGTAAATGCGGCAGGTCACTCAGCTTTGGGAATTGCTTCTCTACGAGGCCATCGTGAGCTCACTCAAATGCTTTCTCAGCATAATAACGCAAACGGTAACTCTTTTTTAAACTATGTAGCATTCAAAGAGAAAGAGAACTGTTCGATGCGTGAAGTGTAACAAGTTGTTTGATCGAACTACTCATCATCATTGCTTAATTCGTTGATTATTAAGCTTCTAGAGCAGCATATTAACATAAAGTCTAGATATTTTAAGAACTATGGTTAATATATTCAGAAGCAATTAATATATTGTGTTCACTGTGGAAGGTTTAGTAACGCTCTGACGGCGATTTAGTTTATTAAGCCATTCCTTCAGATCTAATTGGTAGGGGGGAGCAAGTGAGGGGGGGGGGACTGCATGACGGGAAATGTAAAATGAGAGAAAATATTGAAATAAGTTAATTTAGAGAAAAAAGAGAAAAAAAAACAACCGCCAAGCTCATCTGTCATGAAGCATATGACAATGATCCTTTGTACGAATTTCACGTGAAGGTTACGTGAACATGTGAAAAGGAGTATGCAAATGAGTGCTCAGGGTGATCTTTGACATCAGCACGTGGAGAGGAACATCATTTGTAAGAAAAATAACTTAGACCAAAGCCCAAAATACCACAGAAAGAGAAACAGAGTGGGAGAGAGGAGTGAGTAACTTACTTCGGATGGAAGGTTTGGACTTATTTACACATTCATTACCTAATCGCTTGATACTTTAATTGTATTCCTCAAGCATGAATATATAACAAGCTGTTGTTTCAAAAAATTGAAAGAATGAATGAAATTATGCTAATGAGAGCTTCAACACAGAGAGTTAAGGGAAAAAAACTCTTGTTTCTGAGAATTTTTTAGAAGAAACTGTCTTGTTTTGTTCGTTTTCGACTCTACCGATCCTTAGCGATCTCGAAGTAAGATTTGGTAGACCTTTCAGTTTGAAGTTTGTAAGATGTTTTGTGGTTTCTTTCCCACACCAAAAACGGAGGGCGAACAATTCTCATACCAGTAAACAACTGAATAACAACACCACGTTTTTAAAATGCATCACTTTTAACTTTTTCTTTGCAGGTAAGAAGCAGAAGAAGGGTCAAGCAGCAACATCGTCATCTTCTCGAGATGTTATTGGTGACTTGAAGACATCAAGTAAAAAATCATCTCAGGAAAGCCCCGTATCCGGTTACTCATCCGTCCCATCTGGCGATCGACATCATGCTAGCCTATCACCGCAAGCTTTAAGCTCCGGATACTCATCAGCTGGAGAAATGTATCCGGATTCTGTGTATGTTTATATAATTCTAAATTTGGATATTAGGGAAGCTTTTCTTTATTTTAATAGAATATTGCAGTATTAGCGGACCAGAAGTGATGATTGAAAGACATCGAATGCGATATGTAGAAGATGAAGCTGAATGCTTAAAAGATTGCGCAGCTCAAACAGACACTGATCTCTTGCAAGATCAAATAAAGGTCAGCTTGGCGTTGTTTCTTTGGTTTGAACTTATAAACATTGATAGTTCGCTTTTATTAGAGCGTACAGAGATGTTTATCCATTAGACTTTCTGATATTTTGCACAAAAAGGTAGTTGAAGCTTTTTTAGTTTTTTTTTTGTTTTTGCCCTCTGCATGACCTTGACGGCTTCTACTGCCCAGCAGGTCTGCACCACTCATCAACGCAGAGAAAGTTAATTTTACAATTAGAATGAGCTCATTGCGGGGCGAGAAATAAAAAAGAAAGTTTGATTGACTAAGAAGTTTTTCTCAATGCATATTTGATGATAAAATTTGTTTTCTATCTTCACTTTACTTCTTATTTTCAGATATTGGATGATGCAGCCTGGACAGGTCTAGGCCTATCAGCTGTTGAACAAATCGATCGTGTTTTGGAAGAAGTAACGATATCTGAATTGAGCCCAGTTTCATCTGAATTGGGTTATAAGCCTCCAAAGGCTGAAAAAAGGTCGATTGCTGTATAAATATGTTTTGTGATGGAAAAATTTTTAATTAAAATGAGTCGATGTAATCAGTTACAAATTGTATTTTTGATATTTTGAACGGGAGGAAAAGTACTTATTCGGAATGATTAAGCTATGAAACTAACTTTTATAACTATATATACATATATGGTGATCTCTGCCTTCATTTGCATGCGAGATCTTTCCTTCGTTCGCTCTATTCTCTGCTCAACAGACCTGTGAATCATTGTGTGTTTATTTTACTTTTTTTCTTTTTTTTTTAACTGAAATAAAACTTGTTTTTACATTTATAGATAGTATCAGAGATCTATTGGGATTTAAACTTTCTTCGAAACATTCTGAATTTCCCTCTTTTGAACTTATTTTTTGATAATTTGCATAAACAGCTAGCTAGTATATAACATCAATTCTTATGTTTTCAAAATGGCTTTTACAGAAAGAATTCTGAAAAAAAAATTTTTTTTTTTTATCTTTGCGATCTGGTTTTGTTCACAAACGATTTGAGTAAATGAAAGAAATGAACTATTATGAGAGGATAAATGGATAAATTGAATGAAATTTTAAATTAACACAAGCTGATGATGATATATCTCTTTTTGAAGTTTCAACTAGGCATTACCACGTGAATGTTTTGTAATTCATGAATCCAAAAAGAAGGTTTGTCTCTCTTTCTCTTTTTGCTCCAACTGCACTCATTGCCTTCGGCTTGCTCTCAGTTCCTTCTTCTTCTTCTTTTTTTCACAAGTAACTCAACTTTCAAGCAAGTTATGTCCTTTTTCTTCCTGCTCATAAGAATACTTCAGTCATTTTTTTTCTTCTCCTCCAAATCGTTCTTCTCTTCCTACTTAACTCCAAAAAAAGAGAAAAAAAAACAGACGAAAGGGCATGTGGAGAAGATAAACGTTTAATAACAATTATCTTGCTAGATCTCTCGAATTTCCAAAATAGTCAAAAAGCAAGTGGCTTACATAAGATATCAAACTGCCATTTAAGGGCATTTCTCTTCCAGTTGGGTAAAACGTCTACGTCACACACCCATATTCTCCATTACCGTCAATTTGCTTCCGGATTAGTTCGTAAAACAGATCGGTTTCCTGTCTTTGAGTGACTGCTTTATTCATTTTAATCTGAGTACTATGTAGCTTTTTGGAAATTTTTTAAACAAAGATATGAATTGTAAGGATGTCCTGAGGGGATAACATGAGATAGTGTCATGATGGAATAACGATGCATGTAGATTAGTAGACAGTTATGATAGAATATGTCACAGCTGAAGATATCGTTGTTCGGAGAGAGAGAATATAGAAGAGAAAGCAATAAAGAGAGAATCATAAGAAAAAAGAAAAATAAGAGACTAGAAGAGAGAGAGAAAAAGCTTCAGAGGTAAGAGATGAGCATAGTGTTGGTGTTGATGAATATGACCACGCCCATTGTGGTTCCTCTGACTACTTTGGTCTCTCATTCTCGTGCTTATTCTACCTTCTACTCTCATTTACCAGTCTTTCTCCAACATTTATCTTTATTTTCTCTCTTTTTTATTATGTTTAGCTCATTTCTCTTATTTACCTCCGTATTTGGTTTTGTTGGAGCTGCTCCTCCCATTCTACTTGTTCACTCTTTTCAGCCAAGATTTCCAGATCTTGTCTCGACGAAGAGAAGAATAGAAAAAAAGCGTCGTCTATATGTTGAACCGAGTTAAAAAAAGTGGAGAAAAAAGAAAAATTTCTTCTTTTCCACCTTCATTATTCGTCTTCTTTCTCTTTTTGACCTCTTGTTTCGTCTTTGTTGATAAACCGATTGTCAACCTAACAGAATGCATGAAATTTTAATTTTTTTCGAAAATTTTCACGAAAACTAAACTCGACAAGTTCGTTTCAAAGTTTGTTCTATAATCCTTCTCGATACTTTACGTAATTTTTAAATTTTTTTAGTCATTTAGAGCTTGTCATGCTCAGTCATGAGGTTAGTTAAAAGTAGCTCGTAGTAGTCTGTTTTCTCCTTTTAAAGCCTTCAATTACTTTGACAAAAATTTTTATGTTCAAACTTTATGCAAGAAGTTCTGTTACTTAAAACACATTAAGACGATTGTATACTTTTGGGTGTAAGATCATGAATTTCATACGTAATCTAGGAACAACTCAATCTCCAGAAATATTCATTCAAGCATGCAAGTCAACAACCAAATTCCAACTTATTTGATTCATATGAACTTCTCTCGGAAATTTGTCAAACTTTCCAAATTTTTTTTCTTTTAAGATGCTCTTCTAATTTCTGAAATTTGATACTTTTATGATTTGGACTTTGAAAAAGTGAGAGAGTAGTGAGTGAGTGCGATTGAAGGAGGTGGAGAAGTGGATGACGGGGAGAGAAAGATATGCAAGCTGATTGTGGGGGACAGGTCAAGCTTCGAAGTTCCACAGGCAAAAGATGAACAGAAATCTTTACAAAGTGAAATCAATGAGTAGTTATGCTCAGTTTGATTACCTCGTGGTTGATTCTTTTTTTTTTCGTTCATTATTCGTTTTCTTCGAGTCTTTATGACGTCAGCCATTCTCAATAAAGGCTTGTTGTGAGAGGAGCAAAAAAGGATGATAGAGAGAATGAAAGAGAGAGATGGAAAGTTGTATGGTTTTTGGAGTTTCTTCGTTATCTTCAATCATCCAATAACATCAAATTTCACGCATTTTTCGTCTTTATTTTTCATTATTTCCTCAATGCAACGTATAAATAAACTTGTTTCTTTATTTTCCTTTTGCTCATCTAATTCATTTGTTTGTAATAATGGAAATAAAAAAAAAGAAAAACAACTGCTCTCTCTTCTACAACCATTTTCATGTAGAAAGAGCAATAGGTCTGCCTGGCCCGGCTTAGTCAGCTTTTGGAACGTTAGTGTAACCGATTTTGTGACTACTTTAATCAGAGCATTCACACACATACACACATTTCGATTAGTTCGCTAATCATCAGTGTTCGTTTCTTTCCACCATCCGAATCTTCTTCAACTTTCAACTCTCATCAACCAACAATATGAGAAAGTTGAAAAAATAGTCATTTTTTCTCTGTACTGCTCTTAGACAAATGCTGATGAAAATAACTTGAACAGACATGGCTGCTCATGTTAATGTCTATTATAGGAAGGAAGGAAAACACTAGGCGGAAAGAGGAGAGAAAGATGCTCAAAAGGATTTAGCGGGCTCAGGGAGGTATGTGGGTGCCACAACTTTTTTTTCCGAAAAAGATCGAGCGCCTCAAGAAGCGAAAATTTAATTGAAGCGATCATTTCCTCATTTGCTTCATCACATTTGTCCTCTTCTCCATTGTTTCACCATGTTTTTGCAAAGTTCGAAGCAAAAAAGTAGAAGAAACGAAGTTGTTGTTATTTCCTTAATTAGTGTCCATCATATACATCTTACGATGCTAATTAGATACAGATTTAAGTTGACGTCGATTGAAGTCTAACAATATGCTTCGATGGTCTGCAAATTCCATCATACCTCTCGCATATTATCCGCCTCCCCCTTTCAAATCATCCTTTCAAGCCATTTCCTCTGTATTATTTTGTTTTGAACTTATTTTATCACAGTTTTTTTTAAAATATATATTTTCTCTCTCTCTCTCTCTCTCTTTTTTTTTTGTTACGATGACTGATCTTTCAAATCTTCTAGATAGACGCAAAATATTTGAAAGGAAGAACAAACGTCGACTTTCAGTCGATCTTGACGACCGTTAACTACGAGCCTACTTAAAGAAGAATTCTTTATTCAATAAATAGAAAATATTATATAAATGGACTATTACCTGGTGGAACATGTCGTCTATCAGTACCTGTTACCAGCGGTCAGTTTACTTCGTTTTCTCTTTTCTTTCAATCCTTTCAAGGCTTATTCATTGTATTTTTATTCTTCTGTTTTCAAATCTAATCCACCTTATTTGGAATGAAAACATTCATGAAAATTCCTCCAAAAGCTTCTTGACCTTTCCTTTTCATCCAGCATATGCCTTGTTTTGATTCTTTGGTTCGTTCAACAGAATCAAAATTAAATCAATTTTTTTGAGACAAGAGTCACATGTCATCCACACTCATCACACTCGTTTAGAAAATTTATTAAACATTTTAACAAAGTTAATTTAAAAGTTAAACGCATTGGGTATGTAGGCGAGGCGAATGAGTGGCGCACAGAGGTCTAGCGGTAGACGAGCCTCATCGTATTCGCATAAGATCTTACGATGATCGAAGCTTTAGAAAATAAGAAAAAGTTTTTATAATAAACATAATCTTTGATGATCCATATAACTCATTTATTCAATCTATTTGAAGTCATTAATATATTTTTCTTGTTTTTCATTATGAAAACATCTCAAAGAGAAAGCATTCTCTCTCTCTCTTCTTCCTCTTCTTCTTCTTCTTCTTCGTCTTCCTCTGCTTTCGTCAAACAAAAAATGAATTTTTGAACTTTCCCTTATGTAATTACTTGACTAAAGATGACAAAGGAACAATGAATGCATTTCATTAGAGAACACAAAAAAAGGTTCTCCTTTTTTAAAACTTCTTGCAACATTTAAGTCCCAAGAGATTTTTGCTCAATTTTTACTTAATTCTCTTCAAACAATGACATTGTTTGAGTAAAATGTTAAGAAAGCTTCTTATATCTGGAAAATAACAATATAAAACACGACCGCTCTCTACGCATATCCAGTTCAAGAAATGAAAGTGGTTGTGTAGTAGTAGTACGTCAAGTGTATCAATTGACGCCGCCAAGCACAGCTTATAAGTGCATATGTTGTTTTAACGTTAATGTTATCCATTTTTGAAACAACAAAGAAAGAGGATTAGATATAGTAAGGTGACAAATTGTATAAGGCATGTGGCTGATTGAAATGGTTTTTCGAATAATCGTAAAGTAGTTAAAGGACACTTGGAATAGCTTTAAGCTACTTATACAGCTTCTTAGACACAACAATCGATGAGCCTTTCTATTTTAATAAGTTTAGTTGACCAAGTTTTCATAGAAGATGAGCGAAATGAGTCAATAAACAGCTTAAAGTACCTGTTTTGTGACATGTGACTATTCCATGAATTATCTTTGAAATGAGATAATGAGCAGTAGTAGCTGTTGTTGTTGTTGTTTAAACCCATATCATACTTTTCGTTAACTCGTTTGAAAGCTCTTCATTGGCAAACAAACAAAAAAAAACAGAGAAAAGAAGATAGTAAGGTTTGCTCTGACAATGATACAGGAAGCATAAAACCTTTCTCTCACTTTTTTGGAAGAGAGAGAGAAAGAGCGAGAGAGAGGGAAGAAATCAAAGAAGTAAAGAGATATTCAAGGTTTCTTCATTTTCAAGAGTTCTTTAATGCTAGTAGCGTTTATCTAAGGAAACACACAATTCTACTTATAGTTTACATTCTGCGATAGAATTTTTCGAAATAAAAACTACCAAATAGTGTTTATCTTTTGGAAAAGTTGGGGGGGGGGGGCTAATCGTCTAAAAGAAACCTCTTTTTTTATTTTATTTCCTCGGTCGAGAATACTTTCTTTTTTAACGCTGAAAAATTCATAAACGTGACCTATGTCAATTGAAGGCTTAAAACAAAATATTTATAGGAAAATATCTTTGCTAATTAACTTTTCGCATATATTTTGACTTAGAAAGTACTTTGCATGGCATTTTTTCCTTCACAGATCTATACAAGAACATTATATAAACATTTCTACATGTTTTTCGTGAAAGGGAATGAGAAGACTAAGAAATGTTCCGACGTCTCTACTATAACCCTAAAAAGGCTATTTTCTTTAATCTTTAATGCTTACAATCACAAGCAGCTGTTCGATTGAACAAATTAAACTTTTCTATTTTTCAAATGAAAACATGGATATGACCAATTTCATGTAAGCTTCTCATCATCTTACCACATGAGCTTTAACTTCACTGTTTCATTGAAATATCCCAATCTCACAATCAAATACGAAAAAATTGTGTCTACCTGCGGGGGATGGAAGTCTCTATTATCACTTCTATTTATGGAATCCTGTTTGTCTGTAACTATTCTGCAAATTTCTTTCTTTCTTCTTTTTTTTTTTTGAAAAAAAGCCAAATGTACAAACAGAATTTTTATTTTGAAAAATAGGGGATAAATAAAAACATTGAGGTTTTTACATTCAATACTCTTCCTTATTTCTGTGATTGGCACATATGGATCTGTCATCTGTCATGATTACCTTTTCCGGCTTTAAACTGTCAGTGTTCGATAGATGAAAATGAATGGAAGATATCACATAACAACTGTTGTATATCGTTTGAAAAAATATTTCTATACTCATTTATTGAATTGGAAGTAAGTAGAAGAGGATTGGAAAGATAAAAGAGAAGAAGGTGGGAGGGGGGATGATGGAAGGAGGGGGAAAAGGATATTCAACAATTAAACGTTCCTAAGCTCTCTTCTTTTCATAAGACTATAAGAGAGAAGGAGTGAGAAAGAGAGAGAGAAGCTTAATCCTGAATAGAATTTCTGATTCTTTTTGTTATTAATATATGATAAATATAGATAAGCTCATTGAATATGCTTCGTGCGACTGGGAAGGTTAAAAGGTGAACGAAAGTTAAACAGCCTTCACGATATGATACTTACAATCCTTTACGTCAGAACATCTTTTGCACAACTTTCGATATCTGTTTAATTATTAATTGGGAGACTATTTGGGATATAAACTTCTTCCAATGTTTCATATAACATTCGAATGCGTTAAAGATTATTATTTCATGAAGATTCTAAAGAATAATTGCCACACGAAGGGAAAAATAACAAAAATTGCATTTTCGCCTCATTATATCTTATTTCCAATAAAATGCCTTGTGTATATCTAGAATATATAATATATATATATATGTATATCTACTTGTATATTATATTTATATAACATTCACAAATAAAATCCATTATTTGTTGTTTGTTTTTCAATTTTTGAAAAAAAAAAATTCCGCGCGAACTACCACGTGAGCTCACGTGGATCGGCGCGAAAGTCGTTGAATGCCATTTAACAAGCGTTATGTGGCATGGAGCGGTTGCATTCTTTTTATATTTATGAAATTCCATTCTATTCAAAGAATTCTTTTTGAAATTATAGTAAAGGTGAAGTATAATATAATGGAAGAAATATATATTGAATATCCTCTCTATTTAATCTTTCATTCCGAGTTTAAATGAACTTAGAGCGATGGTAGAATCACTTGTTAATGCGAATCAGCTTCATCTATTTTTGGATATTAGCTTTTGTAGCTTAGAAATAGATGGAATATGGCTTATTTTGTTATAAAAAAAAAGCTTGGACACCAAAATCATTTTTGGCTTGCAAGTAAGTTGACAGAGAGCAAAGCTTAATGATGATGATGAGAAAGAGAAAAAAAGATAGAGGGAGGGAAGAAAGACCTTCTTTTTATGTTTAATATGCAGATTAATATACCAATTATGGACATCAAATTCATTTATCTTGCTCCGATATTGACATGCGAGCAATGTCGTTGATGACGAAACGTACATGAATAAGAACTCATCATCCATCTGTCATAATATTGAAACTTAGGAAACAATTTTAAAATATAAAACAACTAGGAAGCTGTAAGCCTATTCATATAATTCAAATGAAAGAGTTAAATATTTCATTTAACCATCCTATTCATTGATATGACAGGAAAGTATGTTGTCGCAGCTTACCATATTCTCATACGGGGGCTAACTCACTAAAATCTTAATAAAAAATCTCATCAGTAATTCATTTTTATTTCCTTACGTCATGCACAAAAGTTCGAATAAAATATATTTTCGTTGTTCTTAATCATGTCTCTAAGATAGTTCATAGCCATTCGTTGGGGTTTTTCATGAATATATTGAAAATAACATGTTACAGGTATGTATCCCAGGAGTATGTGCAGCAGCATTATCGGCTGTGATTTTCGCTCGCATGCGTCAAACTTCGTTGGAAGTAAGTTTTACGCTCTTAGGATATATTTAAGAGTCTTGTTAAAGGTTTTGTTATGTGGTCTTTCCATATTTGATGTTTTATTGTTAACATGTACATTACTCATTTACCCAGCTATCCATTCTTGTGGCCAACAAGAGAATCAAGTAATTTTTATATTTTATCTAAATTCTTTTATACAATATCGTTCAGATGAATAGCCTTGTTTGCCATTTTTTCTGGAAATCTGCTTTATTAACATTTCCCATCTCAGTTATAGCTCAGACAGGTACGAAATCGTTCATTGGTTCTATGAATATGAAAAGAATAGAAATAGAAAGAAAAATAATGATTTGCAAAAAAACTTTTTTTTTTGAAGATCATGAAAATCTTTTGTTAAGCAGACTTGACGAGTGACATGTTTAGGTTCTGTTTGGACTTGTGTCGCTGTGACATTAGATCGTTTTATAGCAGTCTCATACCCTATTCGTAAAAGAGTTTTATGCACTCCCAACACGTCGTTAGCCGTCCTATTGGGTGTTACCTTTTTTAGGTATCTTGTCTTTTACTTATGAATAATTCATAGCAATTTCAGCGTCATATTTAAAATCCCCGCTTTTCTGGAAATTCAATTGAATGAAGCTGGTGTGCTGGTAGATACAGATCTCAGAAAAAACCAATTATATCAAAAAATATATATGACATACCTATATACGGCAATAATTGTTGTTGTTCCATGGACAATTATTATTGTTTTAAACGTTATTGTGATACGAAAGGTATGTTACAACTACATGTACCAACATCATCTTACAACTACTATTGAAGGTTCGAATTGCCTATCAAATTCAAGCCAATATGACTTTGTGTCGACCAAATAATAGTCGTTGTCGTCGCGAAGAAGGTGAACGGAAGTAAGATCTTATTTTCAAGTATTACCTTAAATAAAAGTATACTCAGAGTTACTGTAATGGCCACCGTAATGACTGGAATCTTTATTTTATGCAATATTCCCCCTACACTTTGTAATTCTGTAGAGTCGTTTCTACCTGATTTGAAGCAAAACTTCCGTCCAATCATTCCTTTATCAAATTTATTAGTCTGTGTGAACAGGTATTAGTCCAATTTTCTATTTTCTTTACTTCAACTGCACCGTCTTTCAGTGCTTCTAATATGCTCATATACTGTGTGTTCAACCAGAAGTTCAGAAGAGCTGTAATCAAAATTTTCAGAAAAAATAAAGGCTTAGATAAAGGAAGATTACCATCACGACGGGAAGAGTCGAAGACGGTATTATTTTTCTTTGAAAGCTTTTGCAAACCAAATTTTTTCGCAGATGATGAGAGAGTCTAGTACAACTGCCATTCTGGTAAATGATAAGCTGATTACAAGAACGACCATGAACAGCTTCTAATATTTTTCTCTACGGGTAACTGTATGAAATGAATTCCTACAACATACCAGCCACTATTGTGCCTTCTATTCTGTTATTTTTATTAAATAGCAATAAATAATTATATGAAATCTGATAATCTCATCATAACAACATGATAACACAACATCCTAATAAGGAAATCTATGAAAAATTAGGGGGCACGCGGAGTTGAACCACGGACCTCTCGATCTGCAGTCGAATGCTCTACCACTGAGCTATACCCCCACATTAAATGTTTCACGGACCATCAACAGATTCGGCGATTATTTGGTCAATAGATAAGACATCGAAAAAGACGGATAGAGAACGAACAGAAAAAACCACTCGTTTAAACTGAGAAGCCCCGATCGATTGAACGGGCTGTCAAAAAACGTTATCACACTTCAGTGCAGAAAACAATAACACATCCGGAGTGTACAGCTCCGAGCCATTCGGAACAGTCAGATGGTTCTGTCGATAGGATGAGGGCTCTATCGCAGGCGACATGACGAGACTGTCTTTGGCATGATATACTTTCATATTTGGCTGTTGGCCAGTAATGTTTCACTCTACGAGTTATTTCTTCTATAAGCGGATCAATCAAGTCATTTTGGAAAACTGATCTGAGCTGCCGGCACTCATTTTCTGATAAAAGATTCAGAATAGATGCATAAGAAAACTCATCGTCAGTAACAACTTCAAGATTCAAAGCTTTTTTGTCATCAACACGTTCTGGAGGAAACTGAAACTTATATATTCATAACATTGAACAAAAGTGTTTCTACCTCATTATTTTCATAAACGAATTTTTCTTCAATGAACTTCAAGTAACGTTCTTCTATGACCCTTTTCTTGTAGAACTCCAGTACAACCTAACAAAATAGAAAAATTACTTTGTCACAAGTTTGAAAGTACCGAATCGGGTTTGAACAACTCCGCCCTATTATATTCTTTCTCGTAAAAATACTTGTTTCTTCGCATCAAAGGATTTCCATCGAAAAGCAGATATGTAGCGACTGACCGTGTTGCATCCAAACCCAACATGGCTGAAGAATATTAAAATTATTTTTAACTATTTTTTGTGGGGCTGTATTTCAATACTCGAAAACATGATGAATCAACCGTGCACGCCGTCTGCATCATGCAAAATGAAGTTTCAAAATTCATAATTAGCATAAAAGCTGCTTCTTTCATTGTTTTCACGATTCGAAAATTAGCATATTGAAACTAGGAAGTAGCTTGTTCCTTTCCTCCATGAAAGATATGAATCTTTACAGGGTTTAAGATATAGTAACGTAACCAGAAGATCATTGTCATGACTTGAGTGAATTGATTCACTCGGTAATGTTTTTAATTGCTATTACTCACATTTGTACTGGCAATAATGAAGATACTCATAGATAGAAGTTATGATATTTCCCAAATTATGACCGTTGACCACACTTAGGCGGTAAAGACAGTTATGTTTGCATCTGATAATGGAGGCGCGAATACCTAAACAGTCATTCTCATTGGTAGGACTCTCAATTATGTTAGTACTTGTGATAAGAACGTCCAAATCTGGATTCCCATCAACTAATGACCAATCGATTTTATCTTCACAGACCAATCTGTAAGTTAAGGAGAGCGTCATATGTACGTACGTGTGTTAGTACCTGCATCTACTATCTTCTTCGATCACTTTTTCCAATGTAGCTTCTAGATCATGTATACATCTTCCCCAGTCTTCAGATTCATATGCTGATACACCGTCCATGTATCGTTGCTAAATCATGTTTCTTAATTTAAACGCATAATTTGTATATCACAGCCCGGTTAGCTCAGTCGGTAGAGCACCAGACTCTTAATCTGGCTGTCGCGGGTTCGAGCCCCTCATCGGGCTTCATGGGTATATCTACGTTCACCTCGTTTTATAACCACATATATAACACTCACCACGTTCACCTGGTTTTTTTCTACGTTCACATGATAATTTTCAAATAATTCTACGTTCACATCGATATTTGAAACTTTTCGGGAAAACTTGAAAACAAGTAATACTGACAAGATTTGAGTTTCAAGAGTAAACATTCATCGATACATCGGGTTAAAAATTTTAGGCTACTGATCAAGATACAACATGGAAGAATAAAAAAAAGAAGTTAACAGAAACATTGGGTCTCCTGAACACAATGTAGTTTGCTCACACAAGTCAGAAAGTTTTTTTTGTAGTACCAGGGAAAATATTCACGATAAACTACAATTCACTCGAGTTAAGCCCGGGAAATTGTTCATTTTTGTTGAGATCACTGATAACAGAAAAGTACAGGACATTGCTCGTGATTGCTTCAGCCCATGGAATGAAACAGGTAGTAAAAGTCTCTACTTATCCATATATTTCTTCATGTTTTAGATCGTTCCGGTAAGAAAGAGACATCTTACTTAACTTATCGTCCAGTCGAGGAAACTGACCAGGGGTTTTTCTTTTTTCATTTTAGTGACATGAATCTGAAAGTAATCAGAAATTGTCATCCTGCGTTTGATGAGTTCAAAAGAGAAGTAAGAATGATTAATTGACTAGATCAGTTGGAATTTCAGATTTTTTTGTTGAATTCTCAAAGAAACCAATATCTACTATTCTGTACGTATACTCTTCAAAAGGAAGTTTTGTCGAAATCTGTTGATTATGCTTTCCAGAATTCTTTCATCGTTCCTCTGGCAAGAAAGCAACGTATTTTACCATCACGTTCAAAAATGTTGGAAGAGGATTTGAACTTCAGGACATCAAGGTCAGCTAAAAAATTTTTTTCAGAAGAAGGAGTGATGACGACTGTTTCTGAGGTTTGACAAAGAAGTTTTAAAATGTCTGAATTTTTTGTTTTGAAGCTGTGCTCAATGAGTAGAACTGTTGATAGTCACGTGAGAGTCAATATCGATAGAAAAGAACTTTAAGTTTTCATTCGATCACTGATCGGTTTGTACTAAAGAAAAATCCAAAAGAGCTTATCTCTCCTCCATTCATTGAAACAAATAGTATTTATATGTTTTAACTTTATTGAATATTCCTTCAGAGAACGGACGAACAGTTGTCAGAATAATGGTAGCTTTTCCGAAAGCATTTCAGTGCTATTGTGTGGAATTACCTCCCAAAGAAGATGTGTTCGATCACAGGAAAAACGTTAACAGATTGTTCGAAATGAACGAGAAAGAAGCCGATCAATTTTTTAGTGAAGACTTTAAACATTCATCGTTATATAGTAACACGTTGTTTCAGACTCTTACCTCGAATCCACTAATGCTTCCGTAGCTCTGCCCTGCCTTGGTTCGGCTATAATGCTGGATACAACCTTTTCCCTGTGTTCTGCGGAGCTTGTAACAGTTGTTCTAGGAGTAAGCGACACATTCAGGTGGCGTTGTCTTTATAATTTGTTATCCGAAAAATTCAAATTCGTCAAGTCCGATAAGTCTGCTAGTATTTTACTAGCATACATGATCCATACATTAAAAGATTCCAGGCAACACGAAGCATTTGCTAGTTTTTTAAACTCCTTATTCGAAAAGTATGGCCAAAACAAAGCTGTGAGCCTCAGTTCACGACGGTGAACCTACTTTTCGAGTATATAACACAGTGAGTTTTACACTTGCATTCATAACTAACTATTTGAGATAAGGGCTTTTTTCTGAAAGATAGCATTTTGATTCGTTGCGATGTTCATCATAAAAATAACTTGAAACATGCTTTGAAGTCTTTTGATGAATTCGATTTTATAAAATCAGAGTTATATGGATACAAAAAAAAAGAAATGTAATGGGTATCGGATTGTCTAACTGAATAGTAGTTTAGTTACCTGAAGGTTAAAACTTTTTAAAACTTTTTTTTCAAGTTTTCCCAAGAAAATTTAAATATCGATGTGAACGTAGAATTATTTGAAAATATCATGTGAACGTAGAAAAAAACCAGGTGAACGTAGTAAGTGTTATATATGTGGTTGTAAAAAAAGGTGAATGTAGAAATGCCGGCTTCATGGTTTTGTTCTGTTTGTGTGTGTTCTCGTGGATTACAGTTTCGCAGTTATTCATTTTTTTTTCGAATTCATGTGTGCAGTTGAAACAGTAGAACTGAAAACGAAATTTTTTTTGAGAACAATGTGAGTGTTAACATGGCAAAGAAGTTTTCATCAACTGACAGACTGCACAACTATGAGAACAACAGAATTTCCAAAAATCGATAAAAACCAGTAAAAACCTCAGATTTCAATTTTTGAAGTTATTCTTGTTCAACTTGAGTATTGTAGGTCAATTGATAATGACTAAATCTCATCTGAACAAAAAAAAAAAAAAAATTTTTCGTGTTGTGAAAAACCATGTTGAGGACTGAAAACAGATACGAAACAGTTGAATCAGTAGTTTGAAGTCGAACCACTGTAATCCTAATCTTATGAAAAGTATCCGTGTATCATTGTGTTCCAAATCATTTTTTTTTCACAGGATCGTGTCATCATTTTTTATTCAAACTCAATGACATTTATGCATACTATCTGTCATGGGTTATATTCTCAAAAAATTTTCTCCAGTTCATTTATTGTGAGTTTCTGGGTGCTTTTTCACATTTTTGTTTGAAAAAATCATTTCATCGCGTTAATTTTCAAAAAAAGTTGTTGGGAGACAGTTTCTTGTTGTTTGAATTGCGAAACGTTTTAGTATGTGCTGTGCCCGGTTAGCTCAGTCGGTAGAGCACCAGACTTTTATTCACACATGTACACCACATACACTTTCACCTATACACCACCCATACACCAAACTGGTGTACTTGTAACATTCGAATTTTTTTGTTTTAACCTTCCAGGTTGTAACTCTCTATTTTCAAATTTTGGAAAGAATCTTTTCATAGCATTTCACAGTTACACAACCAGTTACACAACCAAAGTTTTTTTTTTTTTTCAATTAGCTTCCTCTTCAGAATCAAGTTCAGTGGATATATCCCTGTAAAGTAACATTTTTTGTTTTGAAATTCATACTTACAGTCCAGATAATGCTCTCGATTTATTGTTTTTGCTGTATTGTTTCCCTTTACGTTTTTGAAACTTTGTGCCGTGTTCTGGTCTCATCTCCATAGTCATCATTTGCATGCAGGTGATATTGGCATGTAAATCATGCAAGTCATTTAGAATTTTTTCTTTTTCCTAGGCATCCATTTCTTTGAGAGCAGCCATCCTAAAAAAATTTTGTTCTTATTATCAGGACCTGCATGCAAGCTCACATATGAACGCACAATAAGGTATTTGTGTTTTGACTTACAGCGACGATCAGAACATTTTAACTGCTGTTGTTCAGTTCAACTTTAGCAATCCGGAAAAATTGATGAAGGACTATTTAAAAAATTTGTTACTGAACTGATCCTGTTCATCTTTACCCGTCACGAAGAATATATTTTTGTTCCCTTTGTATGGGACCAGGTTTTCAACAGTCTTCAACAGCTTCTCTCGATCTAAACGTTTATCTGCAACTCAGAAAGTTAGAACTGTTCTACCTCCCTCGCTCCCTCCTCCCACTTTCTCAACTAACCAATAGCCCACGAAGGAATATCATTCATAAAGTTACAAACAGTGGGTTTTGTTAACCCAAATGAACTTAAAAACATTTTTTGAGCCGTAGGGTTCATTATACGAAACTCAAGCAGAGTTTTGCTATTGAACGACCAAAACTAGTTTGATCTACCAGTTACGCTCATGACACGTTTCATGATTTCACCTAAAGAAACAGGAGGATCAGATCATGTACTTCTTCCAACCTCTGTGGTAGTGTAAGAAGTCGTCCATTAAACGCTCTCCAGGTTGTTTTGCAGTTACCAAATTTTTTAGGTGCGAGTTGGTGCATTCGATGATGTTAGTAGTTAAAAATTGTACAGGCCAGCCCGCCATCAACTTACTGAGAAAACCATTATGTAAGTACAAGCTGTCCTTGTTTTTCACCAACCTGAAATTGGAAAAAAAGTTGAACAAAAAAATCCGATTTACCATTGCATCACTTGTGGAGAAGAAAACCAAACCAAGTGTTCAAACTTCGTTTTAAACTCATCGAAAAACAGGCAGTTTAACACACCTGTTGTAAGCATAGTCCCAGAAAGCGCCTTAAAAATTCTCAGTTCACAAGCAAATATCAGAAAGAAAACCTTTCTTCTGGTTCCAAACAAACTCCTTTTAACT